CCACATAAGCAAAAAGAAAAAAGCTGGAAGTGGCGCTGTGGCTCAAGTGGTAGAGCACTAGCCTTGAGCTGAAGAGCTGAGGGACAATGCCCAGGCCCAGAGTTAAGGCACCACGACTGGCAAAAAAAAAAAAAAGGCCAAGAACCAACATTTAAGGGGCTAATTGGAGGCTGAGAGTCCCATGAACTTTCCTGCCCCAAGCTGGCTTGGAATCATGATCCTCAGATCTCACCCTCCTAAGAGCTAGGATTATAGGCATGAACTACCAGTGCCCAGATGAATTTTTCTCTTATACCTAATAATAAAACCATTTTCAGAACAAAGTTCTTACAAAGTGAGAGAAATGTCATTAAAAAAAATAAATCTAAGCACTTAGTTGGCTTGCTTCCAAGTTCCCCTTTTCTTTTATCCTGAGTAATGATGTAAAGTGTTCTTGCCATCCTAAATCTGAAGCCAAATCTCACTGAGTCACTGGACCGTACTATGGAAACTGTCTTCTGCTTTGGTAGTTTGAGAAAACAGCACTTTAGAGACCTGATGGACAACCTCACAGAAGTGTCTACTCCAGAGAAACCATAAACATCGCTCACTCTAGGCCTTCTACTTTGGGGATGACATACAGCTACTAGTCAGAGGGCCATGCTGAGTTAGAGCCTATGAGGCAATACTTGTACAGAATACTGAAGGAACTGGGATTATATGCAGTGACAGCTGCTACCTAAAAACAGAGGTAGAAGTACTTTGATCACAGAAGCTTCACAGTGAGGCAGAGGCCATTACTGTCCCTGTATTACATATAAGAATAAGCACAAAATGGGTGACATTTAAAAAAAAATGTACTCATTACCTGACTCATGTAACTTTAATCCCTCTGTACATTACCTTTATAAGAATAAAAAATAGAAAATAAATTTAAAGAATAAGCACAGAAAACTATGTACCGAAGTTTGAGAGTGAGATTTTTTTGACTTGTGCAATCTGATTCTAGAGCATGTGCTCTTGACCACAATACCCCTGCTTAAAGTGAAATGCACTTCTCACAGTGATAGGCATTACTACATTTGCAGCTTCTCTTTAAAAAGGCTGGTATTCCTTTTCCCACTCTGTGGAGGCATGCATGAAATCGATGCAGCTTTATCAGAGTCAGTATCATTGTTTACTCCACTAAATAGACCCACAAAGAATGTTCTGTTTTCACAGAGAGGTATGTTTGTCTTCCATGATGACTTCTGTGAGGCCTCAGCCTGCTAATACTCACTGATGATAATACAATGCCTTTATGCCTTGCAATTTTCGGCCACTTAACTAGCCTGTGTGTTTTAAACCTGAGAAGTTCATAGCTCAGTTAAGAAATAGGTAGGAAAGGGAAAAATGAGAATCCAGTCCCTTAGAAATAAATGGCAAGGCAATCAGGAAAATGATAGTGGAAGAGTTCAAATAGTTCAAGAAGCATTTCATCAATAAACATTCTCCGAGAACTCAGTTCCTCTTGTCATAGTTTTGCCAAATCCACAAGACAAGAACCACCTGCTGCCAGGCACTGGTGGCTGACGCCTGTAATCCTAGCTACTCAGGAGGCTGAAGTCTGAGGATCTTACTCAAAGTCAGCCCGGGCAGAAAAAGTCTGCAAGACTCTTTTTTAAAAACATTTTCCATGAGACTTTTATATCTAATTAACCACCAGAAAACCAGAAGTGGTGCTATGGCTCAAGTGGTAGAGTGCTTGCCTTGAGCTGAAGAGCTCAGGGATAGTACCCAGGCCCAGAGGTCAAGCCCCATGACTGACCCCCCCCAAAAAAAAGAACTACCTGCCCTGACATGTCCTAAAACATGTAAGAGGAGGCACGCCAAGTGGCCTACCCTCCCATTACAGGAGGACTACACCACAAGCCCACACAACCATGGAGTAGCTCTAGAAATAGCACAGTTTAGCAGGGTATCCATGGAGCAAGTGTTTTCTTCAGAGGGAAGACAACTTGTATCAGAAAAAGCTAAAATGACAACAGGTAGCTATACTAAGTGAAACCTGATAGAACAGTGTATTAAAAGCACTTCACTTGTGAAGAGTTCATGGAGCTTATGGAGCTCTCAGTGAGAAAAGTACAAAGATTATAGTACAGGGGAAATACCTTCTAAAAGGGAGCAAAAAAGGGATATGCCGGAAGCACTTCAGAGGATCCAAAGTTAACATGCAATCCCAACACTAACAACACATGATTCACAGCTCGCTTACACTGACAGAGTTCTCACAGCTGCAGCCTGTGAAGGTCTCCCATGCTCTCTCTAGTGACATAATCAAGATGGGTCAAAGGCAAGATTCTCATTTCTTTCTTTCTTCTTTATTTTGTTCCGAAAGTTTTGGGGAGGGCCAGGGGGCTCAAGTGGCAGAGTGCCTGCCTAGCAAGTGCAAGGTTGAGGTCAAAGTCTACTGCTGAAACAAAAATCAGAAAACAAAGAAAAAAAAAAAAAAGAAGGGCCAACAGCATTTGAGCTTGGTGCTCGGGTTCTGCCGATAGCTTCTGTAATCCTCACTACTTGGGAGGCTGTGACAGGGACAAATGTTTTGAGGCCAACCTGGGGGAAAAGCAGTTCATAAAACCCCCTTTCTTGATCAACAGCTGTATGTGGTACACATCTGGGAAACTAAAATAGGAAGACTGGTGTCTAGGTAAATATCTGAGTAGAAAGCAAAGAAGCCAGACCATCTAAAAAACAACCAGTGTAAACAATACCTGGAGACATGACTCAGCAGTAGAATAGCTGCCTATCAAGCATGAGGCCCTAAGTTCAAACTCCAGTAAGAGTGCAAGCAAGCAAGAAAGTGGTATTTTCAGTGCTTTTCAATGTTAATGCCGTTATTCTAGGGCACTTGGCCTTGTGCTCTCCATGCTGCAGTCTTTCATTGGCAGTAGTTTGCTGGCTACTTACTCACCTGAGCCCCTCGGTCATTGACCAGCTCTACAGACCATCTGCCTTCATACTGAATCCACACAAATATTCCTCCATCTGCATCACATGTAGCCAGCTTCTGGTATGGTTCATTCCACCTCACCAGTACCACCTAGAAAACCAATAGAAAAATATTTATTACAGGAAAGAAACCAGAACTAAATACAGAGTGTAGACAGTCACAACAACAGGCTGGGGAAGGATTAGTGGAGAATCAGATGGGAAAGTCTACACATAAGAGTCTCATGTGGATCCAGAAACACTGGATAATGCTTCCCAGAAAATAGGAGACATCTGGACCACTAATACAATATGAATACATGCATTGCCATAAAAACAGAGAATACATATGACTCAGTACCTGCCTCCCACAGGTGTACAATGATCCCACATATGCTGGTCCTATGTTTTTCAATTACAGTTATTTAATTTAGTACAGAAGAAGAATGGAGGTGATTCTTAATTTCATTTTCGTTCAGGAGTGGAAGTTTTTTCTCTATACTACACCTTATTTCTGAATAACATGGCCAAGTTGGAAAACATGTGGTTGAAATATCTACGTTATTCAGGATTTATCACAGCAACAATGTGAGTGTAAGAGCCTCGGGTGTACCATGGTGAGCATTCCATGAGGCTGTCCCCAGCTGGCCCATCTTAATGACTGTGATGAACTGGTTCAGTCAGACGTTTGGCACATTCTATGTTGCTAATGTTGAGGTGGAGGATATAAAGCACTCCCACTGCCTTCATTAAAATAAAAACTGAATGGGGAAGCCGGCACATTCACAGACATGTGGATACCACTGCCATGTGTTGATAAAAGAGGACAGTCTCCATTAGCAGGAGCACTCCTGCTATTCATCAAGGCATGAGCCCTGTTTCCTTACAGCATCCTGTACATAATAAGCTCATTATGACTTTTGTGCATAGGAGACAGCACTGTGAAGTTTCCAAATTCTCACATACGTCTGAAGTAGAAAATAAGTCTGAGGAATCACCACAAGGCCCGCACTCTTTGCACACCCACCTGTCTGTCCAAAGCATGCTTCATGTTTTCAAACCAACATACAAATCCCATAACTTCTCAAAGTTATGCAATGGATATACCTAATTTGGGGTCTCTGAATGTGCTGCCAGGTTACTAAAGAGTTAGGAGAAACCCCAAGAATGGTCTGCCTAAGCCACAATGCTCAACATTTTCAAGAAAACAATGATTGTTCTTCTAAAATGCTGTAAAAAAATTAAATGAAGCTGTGATCTTTGGAGACCTGCCAATCACGAGTTAAATCTCAGGTGTATCCCATCTTGAGCTCGCATCCCTTGTGCTTAGCTCATCTCTGCAGGTGCAATGCTGACACAATCCAGCATAGCTATCAGCTTGTAAACAGATCTATACCACTGAGGCAAAAGGACATCTTTAAATACTGACACAGCAAACTTGAATATATTTTGCCAATTATAATATGCAATTACCTTACAATTTTGTAAAATTATACTCTTGAACTATTAAAAACCATGTCCACTAGGTTATCTTAAACTTCCAAATGCATTTTAATAACACTGTCTGCCTATGATAGCCAGATACTGTTAGGTGCTAAGGACAGAGATGGCCAAATACTGTGCTCTATACAGAATTACAGAGCTAATGAACACAATAGAATTAAATTTTTCTTTAAAAAGCCAAATCAATGACAATGAATGTGTCACAAAATTGAAAATGTCTGAACATTCAGTAAGGCCAGCTTCATATATTCCTTTCAGATGCATCAGTGTTTTCGCATAAGAACTTCAATCTACAACTTGGATGCAGGTACAGTTTGGTCTCTACAGACCATCATTAGGCACAGAATCTCACACTTGTTTCCACTCTTCAGAATGGTGCCACAGAATAGCAGCCACAGAGTGGAACATGACAAACAAAAACATGATACTCATGACTAATTTTTAACTTATTTTCTTAAGTTAAAACAGTGAACGTTCAACTACTAGGAGCTTCTCTGTAAAATAGTATCTAACAATGAGGTGTCATATTTCAGAGGTTAGTTGTATCATTTCTACTCTTCTCTCCTCGATCATGTACTACCATGCATAGTTGCATATGTTGTTAACATCAACAACAAAATCCATCTTCTTCACAAAATTAGCTTGCACAATCACAGATGACAAAAACACAGAAGACCAGGCAAAAGGAAGTGGCGCTGTGGCTCAAGTGGTAGAGTGCTAGCCTTGAGCAGAAGAGTTCAGGGACAGCACTCAGGCCTTGAGCTCAAGCCCCATGACAACCACCACCACCAAAATAAATTTTTTTTTTAAGGCAAAGATACTTCTAAATGATTTCTAATACCAAATTATCTGAAGACAGATATCCTGTTAAACATTTGTCAAACAAAACTTCCACAGACTCTATTTCATCCTACTGTAATTCTTTTTTTTTTGGGTCCGGTCGTGGGGCCTGAACTCTGGGCCTGGGCACTGTCCCTCAGCTCTTCAGCTCAAGGCTAGCGCTCTACCACTGAGCCACAGTGCCACTTCCGGCTTTTTTCTTTTTTCTTATGTGGTGCTGAGGAATCGAACCCAGGGCCTCAGGCATGCAAGGCAAACACTCTACCACTGAGCCACCTTCCCAGCCCCGCTACTGTAATTCTTAATCAGATGAAATGCAATGTGATCTAGAAATGTGATTCCAATCAAGTTCTTCTTCACTTGGATTCTATCTAGCATAACCCAGCAGTAGAGAGTTAATGCCACTGAATTGGGGACGGAGTCCTTCCAATGATACTTGGTATAAAAATGAATTGGAACTAGAAATATTGTTTTCTTGGATTAATATTCATTCTCATTTCCCTTTCTGTCTACAGTGCATAGCTGCCTACCTTATCTCCCAAGCTTATTTCCTGTTCTCCAAATCCTTCCAGCCCACTTGGCAAACCTAAGACATACCAGAGTGCTGAGAGGTTACCAGCCAGGGGGACCATCTGGGTTCTTAGTCAGTAAGATTATGCCATAGAGTGCAATGGATCTGCCCAAACAGCCTATGGCACAGCTTCCTAGCTCTCTAAGGGAAAACAGGAATCTCATTTAGTCTAAGCAACAAAGAGCTTTCACATTTAGGATGTTAAAGTATGCGCTCTTCTACTAAGAAGCGGATGCGCTAGGTAGTGACCTATGCCTTCAGTTATCTTTCAATGCCAGCCAGTTATGCTCAGTCTATTATTTTAGTGGTATTGTTATCAATAAATATTTATTGAGAGCTACTAAAGGAAACTTGCAATAAAAACACAGGGCAGAATTGCTGAAAATCTATTTGCACTATAATCTACAATCTTGATGGTTAGCTTCATTTAATATGACTAGAATTGTTTTTTCTTTTTTCCCTTTTTTTTGTTGGTCATGGGTCTTGAACTCTGAGTCTGGGCGCTGGTCCCTGAGCTTTTCAGCTCAAGGCTAGCACTCTTATCACCTGAGCCACAGTGCCACTTCTGGTTTTCAGGTGGTTAAATGGAGGTCAGTCTCACGATGTTCCTGCCCAGGCTGGCTTTGACCCTCAATCCTCAGATCTCAGCTGCCTGAAATTACAGGCATGAGCCACCGGTGCCTGGCATGATTAGAATTATTTTCAAGAAGAGAAAAACAAGTGAAAGTAACTGAGGATGGTCATCTATTGAGGTAGAAAAACCCTCCAGATAATGTTAACATAGAATTCTCAGGAGACTACCATAATAAAAAGCCATATCACCAATGTTCAAAATGTTTCCTCAATCTAAAAAGAAGAAATTTGAATAAACATTAAATACTAGTTGAAAGGAATCCTTATGATTATCATCTCTCTGTAATTTATTCAAAACAACAGTAAGTTCGAATGTAAAGAAAAAAATAATGGCTAGTTTTTAAGATGCATTTAGATATTTTAACAAAACACCCAAAGCAACTTAAAACAGAGGATAGAAGACATTCAATGAAAACAATGGTTTTATAGAAGCTGCTCTCCATCAAGTGATAATGAAAAGCCACATGTGGAGGAGGGCAAGAAGTAAGTTCTGGTCTTGCTACATGCCTACCATCTGCTAGGCTGTGGGTAACCTGGGGACCTTGTTTTTGCCCTTGCCCCTCATCTACTAAGGAGGGGTGATTACAACACACCTTTGGCCATGTCATTGTGAAGAGCAGGAAAACAGGGATCAGAACACATGAGGAATTTCCTTATCCCTAGCCATAAAGGAAATGCAAATCAAAACAACTCTGAGATTCCATCTCTCTGCAGTTTAGATTGGCTAACATCATGAATTTGAACAACAAATTTTGGTGTGGTTGTGGGGGAAAAGGAACCCTACTGCACTGTTGTTGGGAATGTAAACTAACACAACCACTCTGGACAACAGTCTGGAGGTTCCTCAAAAAATTAAACCCAGCCAGACCACTCCTGGGCTTCTACCCAGAACATCACAACCCTGAATACCATAAAGACACTTGCATAACCATGTTCATTGCTGTACCATTTACAATAGCCAAACTATGGAAACAGCCCACATGCCCTACAATAGATAAGCGAATCAAAAAAAAAAAAAGGGATACCTATGGAATTTTACACAGCCATTAGAAAGAATATCAAGTCATTTGTAGAGAAATGAATGGACCTAGAATAAATCATATTAAGTGAGGTAAGCCAAGCTCAAGAGAGACAAATGGTGCATGTTTTCTCTCATATGTGAAAACTAGACCTAAAATATACAGGGACATAAGTTATACAGGCCTCTAGGCATTCACACACAATGAGACCAAAGTAGGGTAGTCTTAGGAGTGGAACACAAAGGAGCAATGCCTATGTGCCTATGATCATATCAAATAATATTTATTGACCCTCCCCCACGGTATAACCCCTGTTTTCACTGTATTAGATATTGGTATAATTTGGGGACGGAAAGGGAAAAAACAAATTGTTTAAATAGGGATACAGGTGGACCCACTGCAACAATGAAATGTACAAGATGCTATGTCGAAAAATGAACTTTACAACTTGGGAGCGGGTGGGGAGTGCTGCTATGGGAGGGCAGGGATGGTAGGGGAAACAAAAGAGGAGGCAACAATGCTTGATAAATGTACTCATTACCTTAC